CGACATTTGGTTGCAAGGGATGAAATCTATGCCAAGACCGAAGCTGGCAAGACTGCGAAGACCCGACCCTACGTTCTCAGCGTGCTTCCTTGGCTTGGGGGGTACGATGCGATGATAGATGCGGCGGCGCTGTTTGCAGATCACACAGTGGCTTGGGGGGTACGATGCGATGATAGATGCGGCGGCGCTGTTTGCAGATCACACAGTGGCTTGGGGGGTACGATGCGATGATAGATGCGGCGGCGCTGTTTGCAGATCACACAGAGCCAAGGAAGCACGCTGAGAACGTAGGGTCGGGTCTTCGCAGTCTTGCCAGCTTCGGTCTTGGCATAGATTTCATCCCTTGCAACCAAATGTCGCGTCCTCTGGCATGTCTGTTCGAGCGAGACCATGTCTCGCAGGGAAATCTGTTCTAACATGTGCGTGATGTTCAGAAGCGTCGCGTCATCCAAGTTCGTGAAGCATGCCGGCTCCCTGGTCTTCGGAGGCTCGATCTCATCATGAGCGAGCGAAGAGGCGGCAGACGGATATTGATAAGTGCCGGGCATCCTTTCCCTCGAGTGGGCCAACTTCGGATTGGCAGAGTCGCTGGCACTGCCGGTATCGAACGCCGGGCTGTTTGGATGTCCTGTGAAGACGTCTTGGGCAAATCCATGTCCAGAGCCGGCACGAGATCGTCCCCTTTCGTTGCTCACGCTGTCTGGAGATCGGATGGACTCGTTCACAGCTCGAAGCATGGGATCGGTGTTGGATCTGGTGGGTGTGATGAGTGAGTTTGAGTGCAAAGCGGACCATATGGGAGATGTATTGCCAAGGGCACGAGTTTGTGAATGATCTGATACTTGAGTCGACGATCCTCGAAATTTTGTGAGATTGCCAAGACTGGCTAGCCAACTGCGCGTGCGTTGATGCGCGGGGATCGTCGGCGAGACAGCTGGCGAGGCACTGGCAACACGTTTACGCGAGGGCATGATAGGTGTTCGAGGAGGCGATCGTGAAGGCAGCATCTTGATACGATAAATGCCTAGGGCTCGTTCGACAGCAATATTCGAAGTTGTTCGGTCGGCCAGGTTGACAGCGTCGTCCGGCGCCGAGTAATAGCCGCGGGATCGCGCCCCCGTGTTACTGCTTGTCGATGCGCGAGGCATAGCATGTGGATTGTGGACGACTGCTCTGTGACTGTGTGATGCCTGTCCTTGACCTGCAGGGTTGCTGGGTGCCGTCGCATATGTCGGGAGCGAGTCGTCTGCAGTTGGATGATCGGGCGCAGATGAGCGCTGCTCGATGGATCCGCCCGAGATGGATGAGTTCGTCAGCCAGACCTCGTCTGCGACGCGAGCGATCGGCATTTGGCCAGGCGAGATCGGCGTGAACATGCGCAACGTACCGGCATCTAGCAGGAGCGCCATTCTCGCGACCAGCCTGGGATGATCTGACTGCAGCCGTGTTGCGTGCAGCACTGCGCGCCGACGGCTGTGACGCGGTCGGGAGAGATTTCTGTGGACGGACGCGAGATCGATCGGAGCCCAGCTGGAATATTGGTAGACTGACTCGTCGATGCGATTGACCTTCTCAGCCTTCATCGAGTCAGCTATCAGCAGGCCGATCAAGCGCTCAAGCTTCACTGAGGCAGGCGCGCAAGGGTCTCAACAGTGACAGGCCATCCATCGATACATCGTTCTTTTGATTGCTATCTCCATCATGCTGACATCACTTCAGTTGGCACGGCCGCCCTGTCCGTAACGGGCGTTGCAAGGGCCCGCAGAACGATGTTGTATGCGACAGATCGCTGCCGTATCTTTGACATGACACGAGAATTGAAGACTGAGATCATCTGAGATTTGACATGAATGTCGTGGCTAGAGCGATGCAAGCAACATAGAATGAGGGATCGAGGCTGAGCAAGTCCGCGCTAACGTTTGCGCGTTGGCGCGTTTTGCCAATTTGCCGCGGCAAAGTTTCGAGTCGCGTCTCGTTGGCCACCACTTTCGTCGACTGTTGGTGCAGAAACATTGCAACCTTGCCAGCCATCTGCTCAGCCAGCGGATATATAGTTGCACTTTTCTTCGAGACATTCCTCATCACGCAAGAGTTGGGGATTGAGCGCGGAGCCAGACTGGGAGCCATCAAGAGGCGCGAAAGGGATTGTCACACTACTCTGGCAG